GTAGGTCGGCGATGGCTATTTTTGGAATGTGGGTCACCCATAAACCCCGGCTTGTCCCGTGACGTCACGGGATCGTCGTCGTGGCAACAGGGACGCCGGGTTAATCACCCTTGCCTCAGAGCCACCCACCGTCCTCTGTCTCTCCCTCCCGAATCTATTCCACCTCCCCGCCAGTCGATCCGCCCCTCGTCGAGCATACCTGTGCTCCGTCTAGATGCAACGATACACGCATCCGCGCGTTAATTAGAGTATTTTGCATATGGAAAAAATTGGAAATTGTCAGACGACCATTTCTTTTTTTTTTTTATTATTTTTGAGATGCAGAGGCACTTGTGAAGTTTGATTTTTTGGGAGGGTGTAGCGTCCCAAAACGCCGTAACTCTTCGACGCTTGGAAACGCTGACTCGCGGCAGGGCGAGTCTTATTTAGAGGAAAGAAATCAACACGTTTTCGAACTAAACAATTAATGTATTTCTAGGCGTGTTCTCAGTAGAATGCGTGTCGAGGGTGAAAACCTCTGTGCTTTATAGCGTGGTGGTGGTAAGTGCGACGCGATACGGAAGACGTCGAGCGATCATCGCTTTTGGCGGCCCATGCGATACAGGACCCAACGCGAGTCCCCTCAAGCGAAGAAACACTCGAGCCCTCTCGCTTCGGTTCCTCGCGGGATCCCTTTGTCGAAGGCCTTATCGCGACATTGTAACACGGTTCCGCTGATGCCATGCGGCTCGGCTACGCACTCGTCCTGCCGGTCCTGCGTCGCGGTGCTCGGGACCGAACAGAGGGTATGTAGAAATTTTAGATTGAAAGATTCGTGTTTTTACTTTGTCTTTGAATTAATTATCATTTGTTTTTTTAATTTGTTTCGAAGCACGTGGTTATGAAGTTTGATTTTTTGGTTCGTATAGGGAACGTGGGGGTTTTTTAAAGTGAAATTTCACTAAGAGCAATGAGAATTTTCGAAAAGTATTCGGATTAAAAGATTTGTGTTTCTACTCTGTTTTTAAATTAATTAACACGTTGACTGCCAAGCTGCGAGATAACTCGTAGTTGGCAGTTTGCTGGTAGAAGTTGCATCCTATTCGGAGACGCCCCCGACCACGAGATAATTCGAAAGCATTTTTTTGCAAAAAACAATTAAAATTAAAGTCATAATATAAAAATTAATGTTTGTTTAATTCTATACAATAAACAGATTTCTTCAAAATAGGCTTGGCAGTCAACGTGTTAAAATAGCTTTTTCGGTATTTTTGACACATAGAGGTACATACTTATGAAATTTCACTTTTTGGTTTATACGGAGAATGTGCGGGAGAAAAGCAGAAATTTTTTGACGATTTTTAAATTGAAATGTCATTAGGAAGTATTCGTATTAAAAGATTCATATTTTCAATTTGTTTCTAAATTAATTACCATACTTTTATCATTATTTTTCATACATAGATGTACTTATTGAGTTTGATTTCCTGGCTCAGATAAACGTGGGAGTAAAGTTCACGTTTTCAAACGATTTTTAAATTTAAATGTCATCAGAAAATATTCATACTTTCAATTAGTCATATTTCTTTCATTATTTTCGACACACAGAGGTACTCGTTAAGCTTGGTTTTTTGAAGCGAAGCACAAACTTCTAAATTGAAACATCGTCAAAAAGTATTCACATTAAAGAATTCACGTTTTCAATTTCCCTTTAAATTAACTATCATCGCCAGCGATACCATACGCCATCTGTCGTGGGTGTATCGCAGCAATTCTCGCGTTCCGGACGGACGGAACAAAGCACAGATCTCTGCATTACCAACATCCACCGTCTCGTCTGACTATGCGTCGATACTCACTACGTGTCCGTAGAAACGGGCCGCCATCTGTCGTGGGTGTATCGCAGCAATTCTCGCGTTCCGGACGGACGGAACAAAGCACAGATCTCTGCGTTACCAACATCCACCGTCTCGTCTGACTATGCGTCGATACTCACTACGTGTCCGTAGAAACGGGACTATTCTACTTGACCCACCGTTTCCTACTTTAGCCGTGTGGCTTTAACCTCAACGATCACGCACGCTGCGCGTAGCAGCGACGGTGTATCAAGCAAACTTGCTTTCCCCAAATAGATCCGCTACTCTTCCTTCTTTTTTCTTTTTTATCGCAGACTTCGAGGTGTTTTTCTCGTATTTCTAGACACGACGATCCTCCTTCCAGATTCTCGCGAATTACTGCTCTTTCCACGATGACAAATCGACTTATTTACGTTCGAAATATAAATCGAAGATACGCTTCTGGTATTTTCAGACAAACTTTCTAAAGATATCCGTGATCTATGGAGATGCAGAAATGTGATAATTCGCGTTAAAAGTCAGGGAAGATATAATATCGGGCGTAGTCATAAGTGTTACGTTTAGGCGACGATGTTTCCGTCAGCGTTACCGCGTTTAGTGCCAAACAGCTGCCGCACCCGAAATCCAGAACGATCCGTTAATAATATCTTCGTTCTGCCCTGACGCGTATATTCAACATACTCCTACGATCCGCTACGACTTCTACATTCCAAACGTACACTTTACCCGAACTTTGCCCTCTTCGGACGACTAATTGATCGTTATTAATAGGAACCCGGTTTCGTCGCTCTTTCGTTCTCCATGAATGAATTCTAGTTTGTCGTGCGTGCACACCGACGAAGAATATCCCGATAACGTGCATTTAGATAGAGAAATTATAATTTTCTTAACGGAAGAAATTGTCGGTCCATGGCTGTTCAATTGTTTTCCATTTTTTGGAAATGGGGATCGTTCCCTTCCGTTCTCCGTGAATGAATTTTAGCTTCTTGTGTATGCGCACTAACGAAGAATATCGTAAGCCTAGGTATTCTAATAAAATACACGTAGATAGAGAAATTAGAGTTCCATGGCTGCTGGAACTGGGTTTCGAGCCTCTTTGGTTCTCCACGAATGAATTCTAGCCTCTGCTACCTTTATAATGCACCAACGAAGAATATTCCAATGAAATGCACCTAGATAGAGAAACTGCAAAATTTTTCTATTCATTTCCTATTTTTTGGAACTGGGTTTTGAACGCTTTTGGTTCTCCACGAATGAATTCTAGCTTTTCGTACAATTACACCAACGAAGAATATCCAACGTTTCTCCGCTATTGTAGCCTAAATGTCCCAGGAAGGTACACCTAGATAGAGAAACTGCAAACTTTTTAGCGGAAGAAATTCAGCGTTCCACGGCTGTCGAATCATTTCCTATTTTTTGGAACTGGGTTTTGAACGCTTTTGGTTCTCCACGAATGAATTCTAGCCTCTCGTACATTTACACCAACGAAGAATATCCAAAGCCTAAATATTTCAATAAAATACCTAAGATGGAAAAACCACAAATTTCTTAACGATAGAAATTCATCGTTCCACGTCTTTCGAATCATTTTCCATTCCTCAAACCCAACTTTCGCTCTCTTTCGTTCTCCACGAATGAATTCTAGCCTCTCGTACATTTACACCAACGAAGAATATCCAAAGCCTAAATATTTCAATAAAATACCTAAGATGGAAAAACCACAAATTTCTTAACGATAGAAATTCATCGTTCCACGTCTTTCGAATCATTTTCCATTCCTCAAACCCAACTTTCGCTCTCTTTCGTTCTCCACGAATGAATTCTAGCCTCTCGTACATTTACACCAACGAAGAATATCCAAAGCCTAAGTATCTCAATAAAATACCTAAGATGGAAAAACCACAAACTTCTTAACGATAGAAATTCATCGTTAGGCGTCTTTCGAATCATTTTCCATTTCTCAAACCCAACTTTCGTTTTCCACGAATGAATTCTAGCCTCTCGTACATGCACACCAACGAAGAATATCCCAATAAAGTACACCCAGATAGAGAAACTGCAAACTTTTTAGCGGAAGAAATCATCTTCCACGGCTGTCGAATCATTTTCTATTTTTTGGAACCTGGTTTCATTCTCTTTGGTTCTCCATGCATGAATTCTAGCCTCTCGTACATTTACACCAACGAAGAATATCCAAAGCCTAAATATCTCAATAAAATACACTTAGATGGAAAAACCACAAAGTTCTTAACGAAAGAAATTCATCCTTCCATGGCTGCAAAATTGTTTTTTATTTCTCGAAACTGGGTTTCGAGCCTCTTTGCTCCTCCACGAATGAATTCTAGCCTCTCATACCTTTATAACACACCAACGAAGAATATCCCAATAAAATGCACCTAGATAGAGGAACCACAAACTTCTTAACGAAAGAAATTCATCGTTCCACGTCTTTCGAATCATTTTCCATTTCTCAAAACCAAATGTCGTTCTCCATGAATGAATTCTAGCCTCACGAACAGTATCCTAAGTATCTCCGCTATCGTAGCCTAAATACCTCAACAAGGTATACCTATCCAACGAAACCACAAATTCTTCTCAACGGAAGAAAACTCGTCGTTCCACGACCATCGAACAATTTCCAATTTCTCGTGCGTGTACGTGGAACGCGTCTCGATTGAAACAGCCCGGCGTAACGATAGGCGGTTTCGATCGATCTTCATTAGCAGAACGAAAGGGAAACTCGGAAGCCCGCCTTCTTCTCCTACGCTCGTGCACAAGGATTAACGCACTTAATCAAGCGTGTTGGAAGGCAGGCGAGAGATCGAGTCGAATAGTCGAGCGGAGGAACGAAGGCACAAGGCTCGGCTCCGTTTTCAGTTTCCGATTATTTTTGGCAGCAAGCAGAGCGGGCAGAGCTCTCGCCTAAAAATGCTTACGACCAATGGCGAGCCGTCATTGGTCGGCAACTACCACGTGAACAGGCTACGATGGAGGTTCACGACGTCCACCACGGATCCACGATCGCACAGTCAGCTGCCTAAGGTCCGGTTGGCCAGTCGCAGCCAGCAAAAGTTCTTCTCAAGGTAAGCAAAAATCGTCACCGTTCGACGGACCCGCTTGGAAACGCGCGCCGAAACGATCCTCGTGATTCTTCTTCTTCTGGACAACGAAAAGGATTTCATACTTCGAGTACGGCTACGCACGATTCTTCTTCTTCTTCTTCTTCTTCTTCTTCTTCTTCTTCTTCTTCTTCTTCCTCCTTCTTCTTCTTCTTCATTCTCCTTCTTCCGCCGTATCGAGTGTCAGTGAGAGGTGCTTAAACGAAAACTATTTTCAAGGTCACGAGTGTTTGCTCTTCGTCGTCTTCTCCAGGAATTGTGGCGTTCCTCGCGATCTAAGTGAGATCCTGCGTGGTGACGCGGAACTTCCAGTGACAGGGAATCTCTTGTGCTCTTCGTATCCCTTCCATTCTTTCACTCGTGTGTAGAAGCTTCTTGAAATTTTCCTCGGGAGAGATTGTGTTCGAAATATCGAGTACAATTAGTGTTACTTCTCCCTGAATCTTCTCAATCTTTTTGCAAGATTCCTCGGGTTAGGGTTCTTCTACAATTGTCCTATGACGAAAGAGTATCGTTTCTGTCGCGAGGTGAATCCACGAGGATCTACGTAAACAGCCTTGTAACAGTATTCGCGGATACCGATATCTGCTTCGACAAATATAACTCGAGACGCTCCTCTGCCTGTGCAACTTCTCATCCGTCTCTTCCAAGAAATAAAAGCTCGCGAATCTTTCGACATCGTTTCTCGCAATCTCGCGACCTGCTCCTTCGTTTTCTTTTTATTTTCATTTTCTCTGGCACGTTCTCGCCTCGCGAGAAATCTGGAAGAGAACGTTTCCAGGAGGGACCGATGGTACCGGTGCGTAACACGGCCCCGATTTTTCGAGAGAAACGTCGAAAAGGGAGGATCTTGATCCTCCGGCGACAGAGAGATATCGTAGATCATCCGAGAGGTAGACTCTGCGTGTTTTCTATTTTTACGGGTGCCGGGATCCTCTTTGACATCGGAGACGAGACACACATCGGAGTCTTGGTGGTACGTGTCTTGGAATGGTTCGAGCGAGAGGGAATCTATACTTAGCGAAGGCGATCGTCCATTACAAATATAAAGCGGTTGCCAGTGATCGAATGAAATTTCTCTGGATCCGAGATCTCTCGACTTTTTCCCTGATTTTCGTGAAATAGGCGCACTTGGAGGACAACTCGATTATCACGGTTTACCGTAGCAACGGGGAAGAAAGGATCGATGCTTGAATATTTCAGCGATTTTCTGCGATTCTTTTTTAATAAAAACGACAGGATAGAGATTAACGCCGTTCCAAGCGCATTTAGCATCGCGGACAAACAGGTTACACAATTGATACGTGTAATAAATTTCCTATCTATTTTCAAACGTTGTCTTTGACTCGCTGCCGTCGCGACCACGTCGTCGCCAAGAAAATGAATTACCTCGCACCTTCGCGTTCCCATTTGTCAACGATGCCCCCAAAGTATCTTCGATTATACTTCGCTACTTTTACATCTACTACTCCATCGCTACAATTTCTAAACGTAAACTCGAGCTTCTCCAAAATATCCTCCGTTGGATCAACGATCCAACACCCCGCATATCTGTCCTCAGATTCGATCCATAACTGAACGATCCATCGCGCGATGCTATCCGCCCGTTTTCTCCAGTTCAGTCCGCCTTTCCGCTTTCGACATCGATTCGAGTCGGAGTTCCCGGAGTAGACGAGAGATCTACCGGGTCGTTGCATCCAAATTTGGATCGTCGACGTAGCGACGTCTCGGCGACTGGCGTGGAAAAGTGGGGACGGTCCGCGTCTATTTTCGAGCACCGGATATTCTATACGGTTTCGCTGTTCGCGCGCCCAAATTCACCTTCGCGATGCAGGATTTATCGCGGTGGCAAACGCAGGGGGAAACACAGGCCTGTCACTGACCGGCGAAACAAAAATTTCCATCCAGTGACGCAATCGAAAGTCTTCTACGTCCTTTTCTACAATTCGCCGCTCACCATCTTCCCCTCCACGTCCATTTAACATCGCCGCGCCGCGGTTTATATTTAACCCAGTGGCAATGTTTGCATTTCGTTCGGTTATCCGTGTCACCGAAACGAACGTATTTACGCGGATGACGTAACGCGACGGTATTGTTATTCTGCCACGGATACGTGAAACATCCCCTTTCTGTCGTTTACTTTTTAGGTAGACGGGTATAGCAGCCAGGTACCACGATGGCGGACGATGAGGTTAGGTGAGTATCCGTTGGATCTCCCTACTAAGGGATCCTCCAACATTTTGTCGAACGTGTACATTTTTAGGATGTGACGTAATTACCAATGGATAGATTTATCTGCAGATTGTACAGGTTTTTTTTTTTAATGGAATTCTTTCTTGTATTTTCATTCTATGTATTTGCTAACGCGACTACGCCACGCGTCCGATTCTTCTTCTTTCGTACGAAAATGGCGAACGACGGATACTTCTGGTTCTACTTCGGGACTCTGCAGTACGATTAATTTCGTTCAAAGGTACGCATCCGATTTTGTGAGCTGTGTGCTTGTGAGAAAACCCTGCCCATGTTATTTACTCACCTCCGGACCTATCGAGAACAGCGTTTCTCGCGAGTTCGAGAACGAGTTTACACGAAGGAATAACGCTACACCTTCGTGTCTGTGTGATTTTTTCTTTTTCTACTCCCGGTGTACTTTTTTCACACCCTGGAACAGTTTTTCCATGTACACACTCTGTGTCCCCGGTTTTGAACACTCGATACTTGTTTTTTTTTTTTTTGAAAATAATGTAAAAATCGACGGAGAAATATTGAGGGACCCAACGGGAATCGAACCCGGGACCTTCGGCTTAGCAAGCCGAGGCTTAGCGCGCTACGCCAATCGCTCCCTCTCTATTCTCCCTTCGAGGTTTCCTATTTGGGTACGGAGGCCCCGATACTACAATAGGTGACGATTTTCGGGAAAGAGGCTCTCCGATCGATGGTCGAGACTTCATATTCCATCGAGTCTCGCTGTATTTTTTGCACTCCTGTTTCAATTACGCGAAAGATGGACCGTATAACGTTTAGTTTCACAGCCTTTTTTCGCCCCTCGAGTCTTCTAGAGAACGAGAAGACCGCGGAGATCCTTCATTCTTCGTGGAAGTTATCCCTTGTAATTTTTCCTTACGCGAGAAACTCCGCGAAATCTTCGCACTTTCGTCCTCGTCGTCCTTATCTCCTGCAGATTCTTTCGAGGAAAGGCTAGATTCTCCCCGGTAATATCTATCCCCGAGGAAGAAAATTCTTCTCGATCAATTTAACGCGGTTTCGGACGAAATAGAATCGTTCTTTCTCAAAGCGATTCGCGCGAAATTGAAAAAGCAAACGAGAGGAATCGCTCTCGGAATTTGTAAATTTTCAAGCTCGCTGTATTGTCCAGCCTCGAGGAACAAGAGATACAGACGTGGAAGTGTTACGAAGGACACACGTTGCCTCCTGTACATTTCCTCTGATTTATCGCCACACTCTCGTCCTTACTTCAACGTTATTTACCACCGCGCGTTTCCCAACGGTGCACACTCCATTCCATCCTTCCTTTTCCCCTCTTGTTTCGCAGTTACTTCTCGGTTCTCCTGTCGTACATCTTTTGGAAGAAAAAAGAAAGTCTACCGTCGATATTTCCGTAACTTATATTTTCTCCCCCACGATTGCCATTACTCCGCCTTCCCGTCCTCGTCCCGGTTTTGCATTCGAATTGGCACGGAGGATATTGCCGCCGAGATAAGAAAAATACTGGAATTCTGTCAGACTTTCGTTGACGCAAGTCTTGGCAGAAGATTCTCCTCTTTGCTAAATGTGAATCAAACCTGTTCAAAATTCACCCTCTCGTGCCGTTCGATAGGTTTCCCTTTAACGAATGTAGAATGTATCTGCTAACTGTTGTTATTGTTAATTCGCATAAGAACAGCGAAGTAGCGAGATCTCGTAGCGGTAGAACTAGAGCTCCGAACACGAGCCACGTAGTAATGAGAGATCTGAGGTAACGTAGATATTATGGTCGCACGAAGAACACCGTATTTCTGTATCCTGCGTGTGAGCTGCATGTTCCTTGTGTTTCGCTTACTATTTTAATCGAGGATATCATACGAGTAGACTGCGGATTTTGACGCATCTGTGGTATGAAAAAATATACGAAATATCCAAATTATAGTGATTTTTATAGTACCTGATGGGTGAAACAATTTTCTACCAAAGTTCTACTTTTTTTACCGTATTCTCGAAAATATGAATTTGCGTAAAAATCCGCAGTCTATATGCGAGTAATTTATCATTTTTATTATTGTCTCGTTCAATTTGACGATATTTAGAACGTACGGGAATTATTGCATGATAGTTGACGCGAATTTTTACGGATCGAGGAATCTTTTTAATTGACATCTGAGCCACTCGAAGGACAAAGTGAGTAACTCTGTTGAATTAAATTTGTTAAATTTTTTTATTTATGGAGACTTGAGCACCAAGCACATTCTTTCATACTAAACACATTTCCTTATTCACGGAGACTTGAGCGCTAAGCGTATTCTTCGATATTAAGTAAATTCCTTTACTTGTGAAAACTTAAGCGCCAAGGATATTCCTTGATACCAAATAAATTTTTGAAAGCAGTAAGCATATGACTTGATGTCGAATACTTGAGCACCGAGCATAATTTCCCGTATTCAAATTTTCAAGCATACGGTTCGACACTAAGAGTGGAAGAACCTCGAAAATTGGAGTTAGTCATTTCGAGTGGCTCGTTTAACAATCGATTGAAGCTGCACGAAGTCGCACATTTTCGGAAGCTGTTGCAAAATCACGCGCGAACGATATCGCTTTATTCAAAAAATGCTTCCACGCGCTGTTACACAAAGCGAAACACGAAACACTCTCTCTCTCTCTCGAAGAATTCAGAGAAAACTCGGAAGATTATCCCGTCGCGCAGGATGCTTCGTGTTTCGCTGCACGCAGAATCGGCAAGGAGTAAGATTGTTCTCACCGTGGATTTCTGTTTCTCCTTTTTACAGAGGAAACGTCTCGAGGATGTACGTAAGAGAGGGGAAAAACTATCGATGAAACTTAAAGTCAAGGAGAAAAAGGACGGCCCGACTTGCGAAACTTTTTCAATAACTTGTCAAGCCACGCTAATCGAATGGCTTTTCGCGACAGTTCTCGTATTAAGGGCTCGTTACAGAGCCCAAGTTCAAACTTTCCAAATTATTTACACTTTTTTTTTTCTTCTTTTGTTTCCTTCCTTGCGCAGGATTCTTTCACCAGTCGTGCTTTTTTTTTCCTATTTTCATTTCTGCTTATATATCTCTTCCTTTCGTCGCGAGAACAGAGTAGCGAATATTAAATATCTTGCCTCGCGCGAGAGAGAAAAAAAGAAGGGTCTCGCTATTCAACGCTGCTTCGAGCTATTGTCAGATAAGATGTTTTAAGGGAGTTTCGCACGGAAAATGTAGGAAAAGAAGAGGAAACAGGCGGAGACCGACAGAAAGAGGGCGGAGGTCCGCGCCCGCCTTGAAGAGGCTTCCAAAGCCAAGAAGGCGAAGAAGGGTTTCATGACCCCTGACAGGAAGAAGAAGCTCAGGGTGAGTTTACATTCTTTCACAATTCCTCGCTGTATTACCTTCGATCACCCTACATTTTAATCCTTCCATCGGAGGAACACTCTTCACCGTGAATTTCAACCTTTCCACAACCACACCATTTTCCGTTCAAAAACAGGTTCCTCCTCGGAGAATTCTTCATCCGTTTACAAAAAATTCTTACCCCGCAGCTTTTCCCTTTTGCATAATCCACTCTCCGATGTATTTCTCCTCGAGGAAGCAGCATTTTTCCGCTCGCTTCTCGGATCTTTCATCTTCTCGCGAAGTTTCCATCCGAGAAAAAGTGGAAGCTTCGCTCTATCGAATCACGTGTACTCACGAGAATATTCGCGTATGTCCCGTGCAGTTGTTGCTGCGTAAGAAAGCCGCGGAGGAATTGAAGAAGGAACAAGAGAGAAAAGCGGCCGAGAGGAGACGCATCATCGAGGAGCGTTGCGGAAAGCCGAAGAACGTCGACGACGCGAGCGAAGGTACTTTCACACATTTCTCTCTCTTTCTCTATCTTCAGAATATATCTCTCGCCCGTGTGTAACACCGTAAAAGTCGCGTTCTATCTCTATCTCTCTCGGTTCATCGGTTGCGTGGTTAGACTAACAGAATTTCGGTCAGGGTCGAACGTGTTTCTAGCGAAAAACGTCTTTGCCAGGTTATCATAGACGAAAATTGCACTGCATACGTGTATTCTTTTTTTTTCTTTTTTTTTTTTTATTCTTTCTCGACCACGGAGACAGATGCAAGAAGGAAAAGATTCGCTAACGAAAGAGACACCGTGGATATCGGTGCGTTAGTTTAGAGTCAGTTGTCGTCGAATCGATCGTGTTTTTTCTCGTTCGTTGAAAATATTCCATCTGTTCGTTTTTGTCCGAGCACAGGATATTTTGAAGCTCGACCCACGATCTCACGAATCGCAACCCTCTCCAAAAGAGATCCCTCCACGACGTGCGTTATATTTACACAAAAATATATACATATATATAAAAATACGCCCGATTCCAATTGAAAAATCGATCGATCATCTTTCTCTCAATCACTCTCTCTCTCTCTTACACTCTCGTGTTTTCATTAAATTGTGATCAATTCTGTCCGTTCTTTTTTTTTCCACCTTGATCTACACAGAAACCGTGAAGCGCGTGCTGCGCGAGTACCACAATAGGATCACAGCATTGGAGGATCAAAAATTCGACTTCGAATATATTGTTAAGAAGAAGGACTACGAGGTACTTACCGAGACAAATGAAAACAAAAAAGAAAAAACAGCAACGAAAAAAAGAAAGACACACAGTACACGCAGTTGCAGGAGATACAGTTTACAGAGACAGTGCAAAATAACGAGATGACGCATTCACGACGCCGTAACGATGCTCAATGTTGTTGCACTTGAGTAATGTGCCGCGCTTGCCTGGTCGCGCGCGTTCACCGTCCGATGACGAACAGCCGTGGCTCGTAAGATTTGGCAAACGCCCGCGAAAATCGTGGATCTTACGCAACCGTAACATTGCGATTATTTATAAATCAACCGACGTGTATTTCTATTCTCACCAACTACGACGACGTTGCACATTTTTTGCCTCGCTTTTTCTCCATTTCTCTCCCTTTTTTTCTTTCTCCAAATCGGTGGACTCTCGTTTTCACGTTCCCGACCGAGATTCAAATTTCGCGCCAAAAGGCTGTTTCACCACGCGATCCGGGCAAGCGTCGTCGCGAGCTTCGCATTTCGTCTCTCCGTGTTTTTATTTACTTTTTTTAATATCTACATATCTCTTGATTTTGTTCTCACTCTCATAACAAAAATTTTGCTATTCTTATCTGTCTCACTATTTACTCTCTCTCTCTCTCTCTCTCTCTACTATCACCACTATACTTGTTTCTCTTCGCACAACGTTTTCTCTTTGTACGCATTAATTATTCATACTTGTGCGCGCGATTTCATCTGTCCGTCACAAACACTTTTCTACTTGTCTTTCGCTCTTCTGTTTAATGCTATCTCGTCGTACCGTTTTTTTTCATTATGAAAACATCGCGAGCTGAGCATACGTGGTATTGTCGAGGCGTGATTAACTTTTTCACACTGTGTTTCTCGCAAAATACGAGTTTTTCTGTCGCCAGAGGAACAAAAACAGAAACATTTGAAAAACATCGTACTTAAGCGCCGCTATATCTCACGTTCTGATTGTGTTAATACACTTACGGTAAACTCGTACTTTTCTTGGGATTTTTTCCTCTCCCGAGAGACACGTTGCGCTTCTGTTCGAAGCTTGTCAAGCGTGTACTTCCAACGTCAGACCGATAATCTCTTTTGCTTTCTATGTTCACACACGCATATCTTACCATCCTTCTCTCTCGAGTGTCGAACGGCTCTCCGTTATAACCATGTATTCTCGCGGTTTCCAATCTAAAGACACGCACTCGACAGGATCGATCCAAACCTCGTCAGCAACACACGCTCAACAGTTCGTTAACGTCGTTGTCGAAATCAGCTTTTGATACCAGAACTCACCGCCACACTTTGTCCTCCGCTTTTCACACGTTCTTCTTCTCCCTATACGGTTTCAGCAAAAGATCGAGTTGTCATTCCCACGCGAGGCTCTTCTATTTTCGCGTACTTTTTTTTTTTTTTGTTTAATTCTCTCTGCATCACACGCGTTCGTGTCGATTTCTCTTCTTTTTTCTTTTTTTTTTTTTATCAGAGGAAAAACGTATAAGTACACCGAGGTTAGGAAAGAAAAATCAATCGATCCCGTGTTGGTTGAGAGAGGAGTATTTTTCAAAGGTGACTTGGAATTTTGACAGCTAGCGTGAAGTCCATTCTGATCCAGTATCATAAGAGGATCATCGCTCTCGAGGGGGAAAAGTACGACCTAGAGTACGAAGTCGCCAAGAAGGATTTCGAGGTCGAAAAGTTTTCAAAACAGCGCAAAAAAAGATATATATTTACACAGACGACGCTGCAATTAACCAAAAAAAAAGAAAGAACATTTTTATTTTCATACACGGAGAACAAGAGAACAGAAATTTTTTCGATACTTTTCCCGTGTTCTTTTCGACATTTTTCTTCTCTGCCGTGTTCTTTTTCCTCTTCTCACGTTTTTTTTTTTGGTCTGAGATACTCTTTTTCTCTCATTAGTGTACGCAAGGACATGATTTTTTTTTTTGGCTAGAGCGCAGCGCTGATAATACAGTACTTTTTTTCTTTCTTACCTCACGAGAATTCACGTTTACCGGCTGAGCTGTTACCTTACTACTTTAACGACGTTGAACTTTTTTTTTAGGCATCGAGGCTGAAAATCATCTAATTGCACCAATTTACTCTAACGTAGTACTCGCAACTTTTCTTTTTGTTGACTTGTTTTATATAGTTTTAGAACGTCTCCCTAGAGCGTACGTAATGATTTAGAAAGAGATACAAAAGCACAGGCACGCGTGAAATCGTAGATATCGCAGCCAGTAGAGCGTCAAAGTAATGTTAACGCTGACCACCTACACACATTAGACATCCTTATCTTGAGCGATTCACTTCATTCTTCTTCTGTTTCTTTTTTTTCTCGCAATGTTTCTTCTTTCGTTCATTTCCGCGTAGGCAAATAGACCTTTTTTTTTTTTTTCTCTCTCTCCACCTTCTGGCGCAAAAGTACCGTTCCGAAACACAAATTCTCCCGAAATTCTCTTCCTTAGAAATCCTCTCTATCGTGTCAGGTTAACGTTCACGCAGTTGTCAGCTTCGTGCTTCTTGCTTCCAAAACACGAGAATCTCATTTTCTCTCTCTCTCTCTTTCTCTCTCTCTATCTGTCTCTCTCTCTCTCTCTCTCTCTCTCTCTCTGAATTCCCTGATTCTTCATCCCACCCGCGATTATTAACCCTTTTAGCACAGTAGCGTTGTGATTCTTGATACAGAAACGACAATTAGAGAGCAACGTCAATGGTAAGATTTACGGCAACTCAACGACGACGATGTAGAAGCAAAGCTCTCTTAGATATATAATCACGACACCTTAGTCTGTTTTTTATCGCTATTCTTCAATGTAAAACTTTTCATCGTCGAAAGCAGCCTGATTCTTAAGTTAAGCAAGGAAGAATGCTTCGGTAGAGTATTCTTTTTCTCTCCCTTTACATGTATTTTCTTTTTAATTTTTTTTCTCTAATTTTTGCATTTTGCTCTCCATTCTGTGAAACTTTTGTTCTTTTAGCCGAGGTCCAGACGATCTGTTCGGCATATTGGAACAGAGTACGCGCGCTCGAGGGCGATAAATACGACCTCGAGAGGCAAATTAGGTTGAAAGAATTCGAGGTAAATACGATCGGCTCGCCTGAAGAAGAACTTAACGAGTCTTCTGCGCAGATTATTTTTATCTGGCCTCCCGCGTGATTCGTTTTGGATTTCGTTTAACTTTTGCCACGTATTAAAGACCGTCACGTTCCGATTGGCCCGTGTTTGTTACGCACGTGCCAACCCTTACCGGTCGATGCACCTTCGAAATTTCGCTCCCGATACACCTTTCTTCTCTTCTCATTTCCTCGTCTCTCGCCTTCTCTGAAACGAACGGAAAAATCGAGGAAGCTCCGTTCTTATTCGTACGTATCGCGTGGAAGTTTCGAGGGAAGCATAACCGGGGAGCGTAACCTCGTGTTGTATCGTCTCGATGGAGGTCGATAGGACAATTTCCATTCGTACGACAAAACGAAGAAAAGCAAACTAAAAAAACAAAAAAAAAAAGGAGAGATTTCAGAGCAGGTCACGTTCGCGTCGATTTTCACGAGAACACCATACGGTTCGGTCGTCGAACGCGATTAGGCATTCCGGCTTTCGCGCGACTTTTACTGTCACGCGAGCAGAACGAGAGAGGGACACTTTTTACTTCTCTCGAGAATCGTAACGACAAGATTGCAACGTGAATACAGTTTCGCTAGACACTTATATGAATCTCACTCTCTCTGTCGTTCTCGCTCGTTTGCCTCCTGGCAATTATAGCGAAAGTAACGTATTACCGAGTGGAAGTATATCTGAGAGACACTCAATGTTCTTTGTAGACGATTTGAAGGAGATTTGCCAAATGTATTACGACCGCGTCTACCTTTGTGAGGGTCAGAAGTGGGATTTGGAGCGTGAAGTTCGGAAAAGGGACTATGAGGTACAGGAGAAAAATAAAAGAAAGCAGCAAAAACCCTCCCCCCAAAAAAAAACGAACCAAACAAAACAAAAAAAAAAAAAAAAAAATGAAACGGCGAACAATGCGAGGAGAAAGAGAGCAACCGTCAGTCGCACGTTTCTTTTGTGCAACCCGCCCCACGAACCACTGACTTTTCTCTCTTCGCGTTGTCTCTCGTTGTTCCACCCTCTTTCTGTACATAGACGTCTCTCTTTGAGCTCTTTCTCTCTTTCACGATGTTTCTCTTGGAGAACACGTTGAGTGGCGTATATTTTCTCTCCCCTCTCGAGAGCCAGAAATCGAACAAAAGAAAAGAAACGTTCTTTGTTTCTCTTCCTCGCGAATCTGAACGCGATTTTTTTCTCTCTCTCTCCCTCTTTACACGTAGTTTTCTCTCTCTTTCTCTCTCTAAACACGCTAAACGACGATTATCGGTCGACCGTACTGTATAATCTTGGTCAGTCCTGTGTCTCGGTGATCGAAACCAAAAAGGGAAACCCTTCTCGCAGATCTTCGATCCGTTCGAACGGTAATTTCGAAGAAGAAAAGAAATTTTTTCACCCGAGTTCTTCTCCATTTTTCTGCCTCCAGACCACCGAAATATTCGCGTCGACTCCTGTGATAAAACGGAACAGCCTATACCGCCGAAACCCCGTTTTTTCTTTTTTCGCGTGGATATGAAGTGCCGCAATTAAAAGCATTTTTTTGCCCTTCACTCTTCAATCGCTCTTTTTCTCCACTCTTTTTAATCACCTTTTTGTCTTTTTTTTTTTTCTTTTCTAGACGACCTGTCGTCGTCAATTTATTCACCCGCCTTCTCTCTTCTTTCTCCCGCCTTTTTATCTGTCTCTTCTGTCTATCTGTCTTTCTTCTCCCGTGTTTATTCTCCGTAGACGTGTAGATATGTCACACAATCTCTCTTTCTCTCCGTTTCTACGATCTATCCACCTCTTCTTCTACTCCTCTCTCTATCACTCTCTCTCTCTCTAACAATACGACGCAGGCATAGGCTTTCTGGGCTTTCTACTAACTCGCCGAAAAAGGAGGATAAAGGTAAAAGCTTTCCGCGAGA